AGAGAAGAGATCGACGGTGTACATACTCGTGTACGTATTTCAGTTTCAGTTCTCTTCTTATTACTTATTTAATAAAGTGTACGTACTGTGTGTACGTATTGTGATCTGCATCTGTAATTCTGAGACAACAGAGGTCCAACATCAACGGCTTCTTGGCTTCGTTACCGGCGGGAATCCTTGTCCTCCGTCTGTAATACCAGTTCGAAATGGAGATCTAGTTACAGAGACACCAAATCAAGAGTTTCTCTCATGGGTTCAGAACGACCAGAAAATCATGGGGTGGTTACTTGGATCTCTGTCTGAAGATGCTCTTCGTTCTGTCTACGGTCTCCACACTTCAAGAGAGGTATGGTTTTCTCTGGCTAAGAAATACAATAGGGTCTCTGCCTCTAGGAAGAGTGATTTACAACGGCGTTTAAACTCAGTGTCTAAGGAGGGAAATTCTATAGCTGAATATCTGAACAGTGTCAAACAAATCTGTGACCAGTTGGACTCCATTGGTTGTCCGGTTCCTGAAAATGAGAAGATTTATGGGGTTTTGAATGGTCTAGGACAGAGTATGTGCCTGTTGTTACTATGATTGAAGGTTCTATGGATACTTATCCCATGTCCTTTGAAGATGCTGTGTTTAAACTGATAAACTTTGATGATAAGTCGCAAAAGTATGCAGAGACTACTGCAGTTTCTCCTCATTTGGCTTTCACGTCTGATACAAATTACTCTAACCGTGGTCGTGGTCAATCTGGAGGAAGATCTGGTGGTTATCGAGGTCGCAACTGGCTCTCCCTCTGATTCAGGATCTCGTCCCACTTGTCAGATTTGCAACAAGTATGGTCACTCTGCCTATAAGTGTTACAAGCGCTTTGATCATGCATACCAAAGTGAAGATCTAAGTCAAGCTCTTGCTGCAATGCGTGTCACTGATTCTCACTCTAATCCTTGGGTTACTGACTCTGGAGCTACTTCACACATTACCAACTCTACAGCTCAACTCCAAGAAGCTCAGGCTTATAGTGGTGAAGATTCAGTGATGGTTGGAAACGGTGATTTTCTGCCCATAACACATGTTGGATCTGCAGTTCTCACAAGTAATCAAGGTAATTTACCTCTTCGTGATGTTCTAAAATCACTAAGTCTCTATTATCTGTTTCAAAGCTTACATCAGATTATCCTTGTGCCATTGAGTTTGATTCTGATGGTGTGATTATAAAGGACAAGCGGACAAAACAGCTCCTCACCAAAGGAATCCGCCATAATGATTTGTACCTGTTGGAGAATCCGCAGTTTATGGTCTGTTTCTCTTCTAGACAGCAGGCTACAAGTGACGAGGTTTGGCACATGAGGCTAGGTCATCCTCATCAAGATGTTCTCCAACAACTTTCGAAGAATAAGGCCATAGTTATGGATAAGACAACTCATAGTTTATGTGATTCTTGTCAAATGGGAAAGATTTGTAAGCTTCCCTTTGCTTCTTCAGCTTTTGTTTCCAGTAGACCACTAGAACGGATTCACTGTGACTTATGGGGTCCCTCTCCAGTTATGTCATCTCAGGGTTTTCGTTACTATGTAATCTTTATTGACAATTATTCAAGATACACTTGGTTCTATCCACTTCGTCGTAAATCAGATTTCTTCACTGTTTTTCTGAGTTTTCAAAAGCTGGTTGAGAATCAATTTCCACATAAAATCTCTATGTTTCAGTGTGATGGAGGGGGTGAGTTCATCAACAATCAGTTTATTGCTCATTTAACCAATTGTGGCATCAAACAGCTCATCTCATGTCCATACACGCCTCAACAGAATGGTTTAGCTGAGAGAAAGCATAGGCATATCACAGAGTTGGGTTTGTCTATGATGTTTCAGGGAAAAGTACCACATCATCTATATCTACTAAATCAACAGTCACTTTTCAAATAACTGCAGCTTTCTCCATCTGCCACGTGTTATAAGTCTCAAATTCTCTTCTTTTTCTAATCTATGCCAATTTACTTATTATTTGATAAAAAAATATCAACCTTTTCCCTCAATTTTCTCCTTTTATCCTCTTTCCTAATTAAACTCAACTAATCAAGAATATAAAAAATCTTTTTCATTTCTTCATCCACGTTCCATTTTACTTATTTATTTGAGAAAACACTTTTTTCCTCCACTATTTACTCCTTTTTTCTCATAACTAATTAAATTCACTATTAATCAAATGTAAAAAAAAAGAGAAAAAACCTTTTCAATTTCTATTTTTTTATAACAATTAATATATCTGATTTCGCTTAAACAATGATTGTGATTTTAATCAAACAATGAAATTTTTGGTTAATCTATGAATCAAACAATGTAAATTTTGTTACTACATGAAATTGATAATTTCATTTTGTTTGATCTAATTCTATTTTCGTTAAATCTTTATGCCAATAGATATTACACATTGTTATAATTAGTTTTTTTGTTTAATTTATACAACATTTATATATTTAATTTATTCATCATATATATATATATATATTAATTGTTAAGAATAAAATTTTAATCAAAATTCTAGCCCATGCATGGCATGGGCCTTAATACTAGTTAGTCTAATAAATCTCTATACAAAAAATATAAATAGTATCCAACGTTTAAAATATTTATAATATTTAAAATTCATAAATAAAAAGTTTATAATATTAATAATATTTGAAATTATTTAACAATTAAAAATCAATGTTCAAGAAAGCGCTAGGCGCTAAGCGGGCGGTGACCTAGTGCCTAGCGCCTACAACGCCTAATCGGGGCCTAGGCGATTTTTAGGCGGTTTAGACGTCTATAACATAAAAATTATACATATGATATTATATATAAAAGTTACATAAAATATCTATATAAAACCAAAAATTATGAAATTATAAACAAAAACTAGATAAAACATTTATTTATATTATATTAAACAATATATGAATATTTCTAACTATAGATATATAAATAAAACTTAATTGATATTGAAAAAATACATTAAACAAAATCTATGTAATTTTAGGCGGTCAAAGCGGTTATCTAGATCTGGCATGAGAGCCTAGCGCCTAGTCTGGGCTTAAGCGACCGCCTAGACCGCTTTTTAAAACACTATTGAAAATATATAGATATTATGAAATCCATTTAAAACAAAATTTTAAATTGACTCTAATTATATATATTTTTTTAAAAAAATATTATTATAAAGAAAATAACAAAATGATATTTAATTTCACATGACAGAGTTATATGGTAGGACGGGTTTTCAATATTAATACGGGACGATATACTACGGGTGAAATCCTAGAATTAACAATCAAAATACAATTATACAATCTTAAACACTAAACAAAAAAAAACAATACTAACAAAACAAATACAACTTAAAATTTTTTTTTTTTTTAAAACGCATCTCGATTAGTTTTTTTTTAAAATAGTCTCTCGGTGTACCGCGGGTTATTCTCTAGTTAGTGATATTTTTAGGTATTAAAATTTGGGAAATTGGATATAAAGGATGTCTACCACATTTTTGTCCAAATATACTTTTTTGGTGAAATCGTCACTTAGAACTAAACTACCCCTACACCCAATTTTAAGCAGTTTTTTAAAAATATAACTAGAAAAAACATGTAGATTTTCAAGAATATAGATGATTTGAAGTGAAATTTTTTTTTTTTGTTGAATAAACTGTTTTTTGTAGATAAAGTTTCGCATAATATTGTTAGAATACATTTTCCAAGAGTTCTACGAAAGTAAGAGTGTGTATTTTACATTTTTGTACATGTTATACGAATTTAATACTTCTTTTCCGTTCTAAAAACTTTAGAAGTCTGAATATCAAATTTCTAAAATATTTGGAACATGCATTCTATGCTTTTCTCTATGTTCAGTTTTTTAAAAAATATCCATTTTACTAAATACTACATGTTCTGCTATAGTTAAAAATTGTAATCTTTTTTTAGAATGTAGATTTCATTTTCTGAATGTTTTAGAATTCTCTAAATATAAAAAGTAAATCTTCAAAAAAGGAAACTAAATATTATTTTAGAATATGTTTTAAATAGAATTTAATTTTTTTTATATTACGATCTACAGAAATTAGAAATCGTTGTCTAATTTTTTTAGAAAATTTTAAAACTAAATCGTCTAAACCCTAAGCCCCCATCGAGTTGTGTTTTACGCTACTCGTTTGTCCTTCTTCTTCCCTACTCCACAAGTTTTGCATTCATCTTCCACGGATTTGTTTCCTATTTTACTCCATGCTACCGAACACACAAACGGCGGAGCTATCGCCGGCGGCCTCAATTCAGAGAGAGTGTAGGTGTATTTTTCCCCCAATTTGTGCCATTCTACGGAAAAAAATACGTTTTTATTAGGTCTCGGGAGACTCTTTCTTAATTGGAGGTTTTAATGATTTTAGATTTCTATTTCAATTTTGTAAATAAACTAGGAAGTTTTTTTAATGAAATTTGAAAGAAAATGAGGGTAAATTTGGGTTTTGAATTTTAAAAAACCTATATGACCAATTAACCAAAACAAGGTATATTTGAACAAAAAGTGTAGTAGATATTCAAATGCCATACAGTTGAAAGTCCATATTATCATAACAATTAGTCTCACTGTCTTCTTTCAGACCTAAATACGGAGTTTGCTAATTTTTTGTGGTCCAACACGATTTATGATATTTCAGAATCTAGCTCAAATGAGCACCGTTGGAAAATAAACTATCTACAGGAGCAGCGTTAAGGTCTTCATCAATATAACAAGATCAGAAGAACGAGAAGATTGCAATCACAAATGAAATGATGTTTCATTTCATAATTGGGTTGAAATAGAAACGTGAGCTTCAAAAGTTGGGCTTAAGTCGCAGTGCAAGCCCATTTCACAGTCCATGGCCTACAAGAGAGGATGTTTTCAATTCTTATGAACATCTGAGTCGGAGAGTCATAAAAAACAATCAATCAATCAAGCAACGGGCACTCGGTTAAGACTCTGGAAAGAATGTGACCAAAATCACTTGAGAAAATGATTTCTTACATGTTAAAAGAGTCGTCGGGCATATTTCATACATCATCGTGTCTTCTCTTGGACTGAAGAGCTAAACGAGCGTCTCTCTCTTTCTCAAACTGTCTGTAATCAGCTCTCTCCAAGAAACCAACTTTGTCGAGATACTGATCCGAGCTTTTCTTGTACTTATCTAGCTCGTCTTCAACTCCTTTGTTTTCCTCCTTGTACTCTCCCCAATCTTTCTTCGTCTTGTCCAAAACACTCAGCTTTTGTTTCTTTTTTATCTGCTCGAGAACCGCATCAACCGCTGAAGGCGCAGCCGAGGAAGAAGAGGAGCCTTTGTTTCCCCGCTCAAATGCTTCCTTTGAATCCGCTTCAACTAACCGCTTTACTTCGATTTCTTGACCCGCAAAGTCTTTGACCTCAGTTATCTGGAAATAATTGAGAAGCACGTATGCATTATTCCTAGTTCCAAACAGGTTATAATATCATAGATTCTAACAATTCCGAGCCAAAACACAAACTCAAACAAAAAGCAAGCTTTATTTATGGATTGCAGCGAATCAATCAAACCACATATTAACTTGAGACAGAGATTCTACTCATCCACAATCCATCTTCTTACTTCCAAACAGCTGATAAGATCTAAAATTCTAAGTTCTAAGTTCTGACAATACAATACCAAGCTAAAACACAGATTCAAACAAAAAGCAAGCTTTCTTTTCGTACTGAGACATAGATTTTAAGATCTTAGATTCTAACGAGATGGTACCGATCCAAAACAAAGATTCAAAACAAAAACATTTTCTTAATTCAATCAAACTGCATTTCAACTCAAAACAGAGATTCCAGTCATCCACAATCCATTTTCTTAGTTCCAAACAACTGATTAGACCTTAGAATTTAATAATTCCGAGCCAAAAACAAACTCAAAAAAGAAACGAGCTTTATTTGTGGATCGCAAAGGTTCAATCAAACCACATTTTAACTCGAGACAGAGATCCTACTCCTACACAGTCTATCTTCCTAGTTCCAAAACAGCTGATAAGATCTTATATTCTAACAATACAAAGCCAAACACACAAATTCAAACCAAAAAGGTAGCTTTTCTAACCTCAATCTTGCCCCGGCTCGATGCAGCTGCAGCCGTTACAGTTGCATTTCTCACCGCAGCTAAAGCAGCTGCAGCAATACCTTTAGCCTCCTCACTACAACTATAATTCAAAACGCTATCTTCCTTTTGTACATTCGAAACGCAATGATCCTTCCTCTTTGCACCCACACCAAGATAACTTTTCCAATTCTGCAAATAAGACAAAAACAAGAAAACATTCAAAATCCTAAAACATAAACGTAACAAAAGAATCAAAACGCAGAGAGAGTGGATAAAAATCTCACGCTATTAGCTGGTTTTTTAGCGGGCAAGGCGGTTGAGGCAAAATTGAGCCGTTTATTTGGAACTCCTTCGTTCATTCGCTGCCAAATCTCCGCAACTTTCTTAGACACAGTGCTCGAATCACTTTTCTCTGGCGATTGCTCGTGAGACCCCATGTCTAGATTCAAGATACGCCTCTGTTAAAAGTGGCAAAATTTCGATGAATTGGTATTCGTATCTCACGAAATAAAGTTAGGGTTTTGAACAAGAAAACATCGAAATTATACCGGAGATTGAAGAGAGACGAATAAGTGGAGGAGGAAGAGGGAAAGTTAACCTGGAACTTCCGGCCGACGAAAACCCTAATTGATGGAACTGTCTGCAACAATCGACGCGATGAGCGTTTGAGGAAGGAACCTTTTTCTTATATTATCTAATTGACCACTCTACTTTAAAACAAATAACATATAGCCCCAACACTTTTAAAAATAACAAATAGCAATCTTGAAATGGTTTTGGAAGTCTAATCATAGGTTTGGAGTTCCGAACGGCATGACCTTCCAATGGTAATGTCGATCTGGTATGCAAAAAACCCGTCTTTGGTCTGTCTTCTGGTTTGATTTCAAGTTGCCAAAATCCTACTTTTAAGTCAAATTTGGAGAAGACTAGTGCTTGAGGAAGTCTTTGGAATAGAACTTCTTGCTTTGGTAAAGGAAACTTGTCGTCTACAAGGAAGTGGTTGAGCGGCTAGTAGTTGATGACTAACCTTAGTTTTCCTCATACTTGTTCAGCTCTTTTTTGACGTAGAAAGCTTCACATGCCCACGTTGAAGTGATCTTCTCCTTGGGATCTTATTTTGGAGTTGATCAACTTCTTCGAGAGCAAGGTTGTAGTGGTCTGGATTCATTTCCGGATGGCTTACTTTGGTTGGATTAACGTCTTTATTCATCTTGAAAGGTAATGATATAAAGAAGTTAGGGTTCTTCCTTAACTGTAATGAACACTTGGTGAAGAACTCCGAATGTGAGGCCGCACAAGAAGTCTTGATGATCTCGTCTTTGATGGGGTTTAGGATCTCCATGGGGTAAAGATGAGAGACAGTAGTCCAAGGTAGTAGATGGGCGGTTCGCCGGTTCCTGATAATAATGGTTCTTATTAAAATGTCTCTATTCAAGAAAATATTAGATAAACTTTTTACATTTGTGCGTTTCAAAACAAAATAATAAAAAATTGTTAAGAGTTCACTTTTATAAAGAAACGTTGTATGTGGTTTTTTTAAAAATCCAAAGAAAAATATGATAAAGTTAATTTCATGAATCAGTTCAATTTTAGTTTTTTTAAAAGTAATTCGATTATCCTAAATACTAAAAAAAAAATCTAGTCCAAATTTGATAATTATTATATCCGCACTTTACTATTATAATCATCATTCAAACATTGATTTGCACCGCTTATTCTATACTAACCGCACTTGTCCCGCTAAATGCGTTTCTTTTTAACAAACTACACTTAAACCACATTATTCAATCCGTTTGTTCCGCACCGACCGATCCGCTATCACCATTCGGAGTCTTCATTTCCAAGATTTTTCTTTTTTGACATTTTTTTTTTTGGAAGAAAAGTATACCTTCTTTCGAAAAATGCTCTTATGTGTAGCATGGTCAGTGCCAGATGACTCAAAAAGCACCATGAAGAAACTTAAGCACTGCCTGAAAGTAAGCATTGGTGCTCTCGAGATTGGATCTTTCAATTCTGCTGCAATCAGTCTTGCTGAAACCATTTTCCCAGTGAGTAGCCCATAAAACTAGACATGGTTTGGTTTGGCAACGTGACATAACCACCAGTTTCAAAATAAATATTATCGGTTAACCGATAACACAAATCCTTTAAACGAAGCCCATAAAACAACACCAGTCATTACAAGGTAATGTGAATCTATAGCACCAAAAGAAAGTGTGTCACGATACTATGATCAATATTCTAATCAAAACAGAAAAATGTATCCCAAAACAATGATCATATTCTAACAAAAGTAAATCAGTTCCTTCTTTGTTTTTTGTTCTTGGATTGGTTTCCCTTTTTCTTCCACTTCTTATTTGTAACAGCTCTACTCTTCTCCTCAATCTCCTTAACTTTACGCTTCCTGGAAAACCATAACCAACACAAACACATTTTCTTAGCAAAGATTGCACACATGATCTTAGCTACAACATCTCAATTCTCAAGACAAAATGTTTTTGTTATTAGATACCACACACTTATTCACACCAGGACAAGGGCTTAAAACTTATCATAGGTCCAATTCCATTAACAAGTCTAGATTTAGATGAATTTTAACTCGACGTATCACAAACTAAAGGTTATGCAATCAGTTAGTCTAAAAAGACATGCTCTTGTTTATGTTTATAATACAGAATCTAAGCATTGCCTCCACATTGTTTCGTAATACACAATGGTGGTAACTAACCTGTACTGAGAAGTTTTGGGATCTGACACCAACTCATCAGCAAGAGTTGCTTTTCTATTCTTCTTTGTTAATCTTCCATAGAACTCTTCAGCTGGTTCAATTACTGTTCCAATCTGTTTTTTAACACAAAGGAAATAACAAAAAATTGGTGTTAAGACAGAAGCCGAGACAAAAGGTTAGTCTTTGATCTAGTTTACCGTTCTGAAACTTGCCTGGAAATATTTTTCAGCTAGTTTTGACCGTGACACAGATTTCTTGTAGTGTAGAGCAGGATCCATTACAGTTCTCAACTACAATAGAGATACAATTAGAATGATGTTAGGACTTTGAAACCAAAAACAACAACAACAATAAGAACAAAGCAAAGAATCTATTACCTTAAGCAACTGAAGATCTCTTTTTAACTCAGGAGTCATTGTTGGTGCAGGCATATCAAACCTATCCACAGTTGCAAAACAATGTATCTCGGAATCAAACAAAAAGGGTAAATATAATCTGAGTAGAGAGGAAAGAAAAGTTACCAGTTTGAACCAGTGGTATCTTTGACTTGTTTCCTAATCATCTTGTTAATCTTCTTTGGATCATTAGGTGGAAGACAAAGACCATCGACAAGCTCTGACTTAGACATCCAGAGCGAACTGCTTTCGTGACTCTCAGCTCTTTTGCTTAAACTGGAACCAGTTGTCGAGTCTAAGGATAAGCCTGGAAGCTTTGGTTCCCATTTTAGACCAATCAATGGTTTAGTCTCTGCCATAACTCTAAACTGCCTTTGTTCTTTGGAATGAAGAGCTAAACAATCGTCTTCTCTTTCTCAAACTGTTCGACTTCTTGACCCGCAAAGTTTTTGACCTTGGTTGTCTGGAAATAGTCGAGAAGAACATATGCGTTAACGAATGAATGCGCCCAAGTGCAATTCACAAATCACAAAGGTTCAAATAATTAGATTATAGTCCAACACAATCCATATTCCCAGTTCCAAACAGCTGATAAGATCACAGATTCTAACAATTCTGAGTCAAACACAAAATCGAACAAAAAGCAAGTTTTATTTATGGATTGTAACGAATCAATCGAACCACATATTAACTTGAGACAGAGATTCTAGTCATCCACTATGCATCTTCTTACTTCCAAACAGCTGATAAGATCAATACCGAACAAAAACACAGATTCAAACAAAAAGCAAGCTTTATTTGCGTATTGCAAAGGTTCAATCATACTACATTTTAGCTTGTGACATATATTTTAATCCCACACAAGCCATCTTCCCAGTCCCAAACAGCTGATAAGATCTTAGGTTCTAACAATATGGTAGTGACCCAAAACACAGATTCAAAAAAATCAAACTTTATTTATGGATGACAAAGGTTCAATCAAACATTCAAACTGCATTTCAACCCAAAACAGAGATTCCATCTTCTAAGTTGCAAACAACTGAGAAGTCCTTAGATTTCTAACAATTCCAAACACACAAAGACAAACAAGAAACGAGCAATCAATTCGTAATCGTATCTCTCGAGATAAAGTTAGGGTTTTGAACAAGAAAACATCGAAACTATATCGGACACTGAAGAGAGACGAATAAGTGGAGGAAGAAGAGAGAGAGTTCACCTGGAAATTCCGGCCGACGAAAACCCTAATTGACGGAACTGTCTACAACAATATACGGCGTCGATTGACGATGATAAGCGTTTGAGGAAGGGAACCTCTTTTTAATTTTTATTATATATTATCTAATTGACCACTGTACTTTTAAGAAACTAACACATAGCCCCAAAACTTTGAGATATCGCTATACCCTTTTGTTTTTGTAGTCTATTTTAAAAAATGTCCAAAATTTCACTAGATTACACAAATTGCCTTTTTTTAGTTGATATAAAACGATTCATTAAAATTAGCTTAGTCCAAACGTTACAAAATCTATAGTCAACACACATATTTTAAGGTTTATATAATCCGAATTTACAAAATCTATAGTCAAACACAGATTTTAAGGTTTATATTATTCAGATTATAGATAACTAATTTGAGATTAGTCATTAAGACTTGGAATGAAAAATCAAATTAATTTGCATCCAAATTAGTTCCAAATAGAAAATTTAAATCGTTTATGAACAGAAAAAAAAATCTAAACAGTATAACTAAAGATTCACTATTCTAACCTTCACGATTCTTAACCTAATAATCATCAGTCAAACCATAAATTCGCGTGAGGTATATTAACAAAATAAAACCAAGAATTCATATATGTTTATAAATCAAAGATGTTAAAAATTACACATCCAAAAGATTTATCGGGAGAAAAAAAGAACAAAACATAGGATACAAAGATTATTAGAAACAAAGAAAAGAGGCAAGATAGAGTGTTTCAGTTAGTTACCGGTGGAAAAGCAAAGCAAAAGCAAGTGCGGCAACGAGAGAGAGACAAAGAGAATGAAGAACCAGTGGGTTTAAGGGTTTTTTTTTTCTTCAAATTACCCAATTTTAAAATGGACTTGGCACAAAATGAGCCCAATAAAGCCCATTACAATCCGTTCATGTTAATGAACGAAAGAGACAACACGTTTTTCATTGTGGTTGAAGCCGGTAGACTTGTTGAACTAGAAAGTATAAGCTATATTTGATAAATAAAAATTGAAAATCCATTACAAAATATCAAAACAAAACGTAAAGTACTTGTAGATAACTCAAACGTAACAATGGGACGAATCGAATCTCTTTTAAAAAAGAGAACTTATTAGTTCAGCCATTGCCAACAATTTTTTTGGGTCACTGTAATCTCTATATCATTAAATGACAAGAAGGATACATAGCCCGTAACCAAACATAGAAAGACACCGTATAAAATCTCTATATCATTATTTCACAAGTAGAAACGCATGAAAATCAAAGTTGGGGTAAAGGAGGCTTGTGGTTGAAAGTTGAGATGATTTCTCTTAATCACCCTTATTGAATACTCTTTGAATTCTAATTAGATTTTTTTGAAGTGTAATCGTTAGGGATATTAAGGCAAAGAGTGTGTCGATTTCTATATATTGTACAAGTAGAAACGCACGACAATTAAACTTGGGGCAAAGGAGGCTTGTGGTTGAAAGTTGAGATGATTTCTCTTAATCACCCTTAAAGAATACTCTTTGAATTCTAATTAGGTTTTTTGTAAAGTGTAATTATTTGGTATAATAATATCAAAATGTATCGAATTTATGGATTATGGAATGTTAGCTTTAATGAATTTTTTTTAAGGATAAATTCTATTATGGAATGTTAGCTTTAATGAATTTGTTAATCTTTAGGATAAAAACTATATCATGTAGTCAATATTCGCGTTTGTAAATTTTCTAATTTAGTTTTTAATTAAAAAATTAAAATTTTTAAGATAATTACTAATGTTTGCCCTAATTTTAAAGATATACATATCGTTGATCAAGCAGACAATTATGTATTACTTTTTTTTTATGTGCTTTTATATTATGGTTTTTTATACAGCTACGATGATTCTAATGAATCGATTTGTGTGTCATTCAAAATGTGTTTTCATGTACTTTTAAAGATCGTGTGCATGTTGTTTGTTGTTTGTTTTATTTTCTGCATGAGTTCGTTGATATATTGTTTTGCTGATTTGTTTCGTTTGGTATGTGTTTCAGCTTTATCGAACGTGGGAGGTTTCATCAAAAAAGGTTTCAGACGAAGGTGATGTTGATGAGAACAGAACGACGTTCGGAAAGTTATTCTATAGATTTGGGTTGTATAAGGTTTGGAAAGGTATTCTATAGATTTGGGTTCAGTAGCTTTGAGATTATGTATAAGGTTTGACATGTTATTGTTGTATTATTATTTAACTGTGTCGTTAAAGGTACTTGATAAACTCATCTCTCGTTTTGAGGCGGTTCATTGTAAACAGGTATTTTAGTTCTTTATAACTAATGTAACTTTGATTATTGTGAATCGGTTTGAGTTGGATATTTTTTGTTTGGTACCTTTTAAAGGATGTTTTTACTGTGTTTAATCTAACGATATGATTTCGACGTTACTAGATATGGTGATGGTTTTGAATCTACTAGATATACTCATATTCCTTATCTTCTTTAATGTTTTTATTAGGGTGATCAATATATATTGTTTTGTTTATAGTTCTGTTTCTGATATTTATTTTAGTTTGTTTTTTTGTTGTATATGTATTTTAATCGTATTCTGAATATCATGGTTTCTCCTGTTTTCTTAATTTTGTTTAGATATCTGCTGGTGTTTCCTCCTCTCGAAGATGTATAAAGGATACGTTTTATTTTAATAAGGTATTTTGTCGAATTTTGTTTATCTATTCCGTAAATGTATGATTGTTTTATGTTTTGCTTTAACCTTAGCTTCTCTGGTGTTGTAGTCTACTCGGAATTGGTGTAGAAGATTTTTTCCCCCGGTGTGTTATACGGATCGTGTGGGTTTTTATAAACATGTATGTTAATTTTTTCTTATTTTCTTATATTTTATGTCTTATATATATGTATCTTAATAATATCTTTCCATGCTATATGGTATGATTTTAATTGTTGTGTTTGTTTGTAAAGCTTTTGTATGGTTTGAAGCGTTTATCACGTCAGGATATCCTGACTGAAGTTGGTTGTATGTAATTTATATATCTGTTGGAGCCTATACATTAGTTATGTAGATGTTTTAATGTTTTCGAAATTATTTAGTTGTTTTTATTTATTGTTTTTCATTTTTTTTTTGTTGTTGTCTATTAATCGACTAATGAGAATATCTTTTTACATGTCGAAAAACAGTATGTTGGACGCGCAAATTCGGGATGAATATCCAGAACTCTCTGATGATGAGGTCACCTCTAAAAGAGACGAGATTTTCATTTATGGATTCGTCAATACGTACGTCGTATATACTAACGATCTCACTTTAAATCGACTCGTGGATTGGAATATATATCTTTACTAATCTATATAATTTTCATTTTAGGTGGAAGCAACGAGAAGTCATCAAAATTTTCCTCCATGGGTTCATGAACTAGTGGAAGGTCCTGAAAACAAAGTCAAGTCATGGCCCATGTATTTTACTAGAGGATATATGTTTCACACGCGGAATCATGGGCGCACAAGAAAGACAATGAATTATGGGGTATGTGTTCGAGGACAAAATTATTCTGAAGCATCTCACGAAGAAGATTTTTTTAGGACCGTGGAAAAGATAATCGAGCTCGAGTATCCAGGACTGGTTAACTTAAAGATCACACTTTTCTACTGTGAATGGTTTGACCCAAAGGTTGGCAAAGGAATTCGTATTTCAGATGGAGGCGTTGTAGACGTGCTACAATCAAAGAGATACCAAAATTACGAACCATTTATTTTAGGTAATTTTTCATCCTATTTTCAAGTATTTGCTAGAGACGATCTTATTTTATTTCAAATTTTTGGCTTTGTACAGGGTCTCAAGCTGATCAAGTGTGTTATCTTTCATACCCGAACACAAAACGACCTCGAAAAACGTGGCTTTCAATTTGCAAAGTTAATCCAAGGAATGTTGTTCAAGGGAAGTTTACTGAAAATGATATGGTTATACTGCAACAATCTGTTGATGAGGCACCTCCGAGCATGATTGAAGAAGTTATAGTTGAGAGCTTAGTTGATGGAAATCATCAAGATGAACCTATCGATTTTGATACTGAAGATGCTGAAGGAGAAGACGAATTTCATTGTAATTCATCAACATCCGAAGATGAAGATGAAGAAGAAGGTGAAGATGAAGAATAATTATAAATATAAGTCATTTGTAAAATAATTGACTAAATTTTAATGTGTGTTTTGTAATATATTTTAATTAAATGGCTTGATGATGTGTGTCTTGGAAAATAGAATTAAACAGCCAATTTGATATGTTTATTTACTAGTTTTGGTAAGCATTTAACGATTAATTAAACAGCCAATTTGGTAACATACTTGCCATACTTGAAAGCAGGTTCTCGGTTCGAGTCAAGTAGAGCTCTTGTTTTCCATCATTTTACTAACAGTCACAAAGCAGTCGCACTGTTGCCACCATTCTGCGACTAAACAAGATAATCGATCACATCTACCAAACGGTCACAAATCAGTCACATGTTTACCACCCTTTTGCATCTAACACCTGAGACTTAGCGACTAAAAATGAGAATATATCACCATTTTTCAAAACAGTCGCAAGACGGTCACACTTCTGCCACCATTTTGCGTCTAACACTGGAAACCTAGCGACTACTTTGCTACATATTACCAACTCTCGATATTGAACAATCCAAATTTCTAATTTGGGGTTTGTTTATATGTTCCATTATACGTTACTAGTGTGATATGATCGATTTTAGTTATAAATACTTAACCAACCTCTTGAATTTCAATGATTAAAAACCAAACATGCAAAAATACCTAATCCATATGAAGTGTTACATGTTCTTTTAAGAGAATGATAGGGAATTTATAACAAATTATGATATAAGTTGTGGAAGCAATTTTTTACCTACCTAAGACTTATATATGTACTTTATGCTACTAAAATGAGTGTTTATCTGTGATTACAATCAATAGAATGAAACAAAATCTATAGATATCTAAATTTTATGTTGTGACTTGTTCTAGTCTGTCACAATTTAGTCACACATTGCGACTATTTTGTAACTTTAACGCGACTC